TCTCCCCCATAGACTTACTGACCGGACACTGCTCTCCAAGCTGCCGGGCTGCATTCCGGGCCACGTGTATGCTGCAGCTGTGTGCATGTATGCGTCATTTATCGGTAACATTATCAGCCAAAAAAAGCCGATTGCCAAAATCATTAAAAAATGTTCCTTTTATCAGTGCTGATGTAATATGGACCAATATATCGGTACACCTCAATGTATAAACCATCTGTGAGAACATGCTGACAAATTACATCAGCTGACATCCTTCTGGCAGTCTCAGCAGAGGCCAATAACTGACAGACAAGCAAAATAGTAGTAGGTAACCATCAATCCTTACAGATCATGGGGTATTCATGAGAGGTAACCACACACATACACCTAGGCAGGAGTAGGGAAGAGTGGAGGCTGCCCAGACTTTCCATCCCCTTTTAGACCATTGATACAGCATCCAAAGGCCAGATTGAGTCTAGACATTCAGTGCCCCGATGGCTGTAGTTTTATGCACGCATCCAGGAATCGAACCCAAGTCTCCTACATAACAGACAAAGATTCTATCACTGAACTGCAACAGCAGGTTAAACAGGTAGTAAACTATCAAGTAACCATTAGAGAGACAATCTATCTATGTCAGGATTAAAACCCATTAGCAGAGCAGTGTGGCATAAATTGCTACTACAGCTCTATTTACAGTGCATGCCCCATGTAAAAAGAGAGGGTTAATGTTCATAGATGTAGACTGGAACCTATCACTTAAAAAAAATCCAAACTATAAATTTAGCTTCCAAGTTTGTTAGTAAATAGAATATAACTTTTTCTTCCAGTGTTATATTGGTTCTGTAACACTGAAAATTAGACAAAAACAAAATCAGTGTGAAACAGATAGTGGCAATGAGAAATAGTAAATATATGCAGTAACAGGAAGCCTCATTATGCTTAAGTTCCTAAATATAAACATACTTTACTACACACAAAATCCTGACTATGGCTGAAGTCCATATCAAAAGGCCAGTTTGGTTCATTTCTTTTGTGTTCTTGAACCTCTGCCAAAGAGGCTACTTGTGACTGTTTTGATCAGGAAACTGCATCACTCAACCTCTGCCAGAGATATTTATAACATTTTCAAGATTTCCACAGATATGCAAGTTCTTAAAACAAGAAGCAAACCAAAGGATGTCACTATATAGGTAAAAGCAACTTAATAAATTTTCTTGTCTTTCAGCACATAAAACTCATGAATAAAAGTAAGGTTAGAGTTTCTATAATATTTATAAATCCACAAAGTACACAAGTACAACTAGAGGTGCACCAATACATTGGTCCCATATCGGATCAGCATGGATATAAGGAAAATTGACTGCATCAGCAATGGGCTTTTTTTGGCCGATGTGGCCGATAATGTTGCCAATAAATGCCCCGTGCATGCACACAGCCACAGCACAGAACTCAAGCAGCCAGGAGCACAGCCTGGCAGCGTGGTAAATCTTTTGCGAGGGAAAGGGAGTGGGGGGCAGGGGGGGAGGAGGGAGTGGGGCAGATCAAGTCCCCTGTAGTGAGGAAGGGAGTGGGGTAGGGGCAGGGGCAGGCACTGCATAGCTAGGGCAGGGCATGGAACAGAGCTGCAAGCGGCTCATCCAGGGGGTATGGGGAGGAGGGCGGCTTCCGCTGCTGGACACACCCTGGGAGGGCATGGGGGGGGTGTGCTTCCAGATCTGCATGGGGCAAGGGCAGCTTGCCACTGTGGGCTGGGGCCAGGGCGGTGCCAGGCTCGTCCCGGTGTGGGGCTGGGACAGGGCTATGCTCGGGGAGGGAAGCAAGGGTGCTGGGAGAGAAGTTCGGGGGTCTATGGTAAATTTTGGGGTGGCTACTGCCCCCCCCATAGCCCCTTCCCAGCACCACCGCTGCTCACCCCCTGTGCAGCCCCAGCCCAGCCCCCCACCGGGAAAAGCCTGGCACCACCCTGACCCCAGCCCACAGTGGCAGACCGCCCTCACCCTGCATGCCCCACCATGCCTTCCCAGGGCACATGCAGCGGCAGGAGCCACCCCCCTCCCCAGATGAGCCGCTCGTGGCTCTGTCCCCCACTCTGCCTCAGCTGTGCAGAACCTGCCCAAGCCCCAACCCCAGCCCCACTGCCTCCTCCCTCACCATGGGGGCCTTGATC